AAATTTCATTGAAAATCAGAAAATTCCTTTTATAATAATACATAAAAAAAAAATTAAAAAAAACACGATTGATTAATATGTTCATTAATGAGTAGTTGCTTATAAAATTATACTTTTTCAAATTTATAGTCATATTTTATCACGTTTTACCTAAATAATATCTGATAATACCAGTTGAGTTATGATGTAATAGCAACATAAGTTAAGTTATTTAATAACACATTTTTGTGTTATCATCAGATAACTTAACTTATGTTGCAAAAACTTATTGTTTAACTTATAAGCTACAAAAATATCTCAATTTTACTAATTTGGAAACTGTGTAACTAATATTTTCCTAGATAAAATATTAAATGAACAGAAAATTCATTTTTATTTTTATATGAACAATTATTTTAAAATGTAATAATACACCTTCAGAGGTTTATTTACTGAACTCACATCCCCTAGAAATTCTTTTGAAGATTAAATCATATTAAATAAACGAACATAACTTAAATTAATAAAATTTCAATTCAAAAGTGATAAATCCATTTTTCTTCCATCAAGTATGATTCGAAATTAAAAATATGATTTAGCGAAATATAACTGTATGGAAATTCCTAAATTTATAATTAAAATTTTTATTCCCGTTGTTTATATAAATTTATACATTTAAAAAAATTTAATTTAGTTTTAAATAATTTTGTATTTAACGTATGATGTATCTGCCTAATTTTTTAATTGCATTTATACCGTAAGCATTGTTGTTGTCTTGTGTTTTAATCCTAGAATACATATGAAATATTCATAAGTGGAAGAACAGAAACATGCAATACAAACAGATAAATATGGACATTTATTATCAATGAAGATCCCAGCATAAAACAGAAGGGGTGCGCTGCTTTCCATTCGAGACGGGAATCCATTACAGATGAAAGTCCGACTTATTTTCCCGAAGAAAATACATCCATGCCTAACTCGGGATTTGAACCCGAACCCCTTCGGTTACAAGCCGAAGGTCATATCCGCCATACTGGCTGGGGCGGCATAGCAATCATTAAAAATATTTTATTACATTTATTTTCCTCAACATACGTATTTAATTCAGCTAAAGATAACAAAGTAAAGGAGTATTTAATTCAAATGTAAGTCAAGATGTATTAAATTCTATATATATATATATATATACTTGATGCAGAGTTGGAGTACTAATTAAAATAAAAGAAAAACATTTCAAAAAAATATTAGACGTAAATGAAAGTAAAAAATGCCCCTACCGTTGCTTCTAAATTGTTACTTTGATTTGAAATATATCAATTACAAAACCCAACTCTTTTTTTTACACGGTCTTTTTTTTTTTTTTTTTTTTTTTTTGCACAATTTTGAAGTAACACTGTACACGAATTTAGCGAATTTCTTTTTTACACAATTTTTTTTTCTTGCACGAATTTAAAAAAAAAATGGGGTTTCCTGCCCTTTAGAAGAGAGCGATTTTGTCGAATTTTTGTGTGTGACAGAGTTTATGATAATAAAGAAATCCGTAATAACGAAGTCAAAAGTGAAATTCAGCTATTAATAGCTCATTTAATTCACGAGGGCTTGAAATTTACGACAAGTATGAAACAAATTGCATTTTTTCTTATAATCCTAAAATAGAGCATACATTAAAATTTCAACGTAATCATGAGTTCTGTGAAACAGAATATCAAGAATTATATAAGAAACTTGAGAAACCAAAAAACACAGCTGCTAATAACGAACTTCGTCGCAACACAAAAAACCAAACTGATGTTGTTCATAATAATCTAAATTCTTTTTTGGAATCAAAGCCGACAGTTGTGCTAGACATTTCTGACACATCTGTTGTCGTTTCTCATGCCACCTGATTTTGACTGTGTCAAATCCATCCCCAAGAAATTCATCATGGCAAGGGGCTAGATGTATGCCGTAGCCTTCAGCACCAAACAGGTGAAGGTACGATTTAGCTCGATCCCACCCCATATTTGAGGGAGAAGACACGAAACATTTCTAACATCTATGTCTTCTCTGGGATTCGAACCCAGTCCTTACGGCACAGCAGTCAGCGTCGCTAACCTCTATCCCGGATGGCGACATCTGACACATCTACAGGCGATAACATTTTGAATCCATTTTGTAGAAACTGTGCATGGTTGTTATCAAGTAGCGATGAATATAGTTGTTGGTTTGTAGTTTTATTCCTAATTTCATTTCAATTTTTGTATGTTATAAAGACTCTCATAGATTGAATTTTCACTGTACCCTAGTTTTATTATTATTATTATTATTTTTTTTTTTTGTAATAAAAATGAATTGGAAACAGTTTCTGGAAACAGTTTGAACTCGGATGATTTTCTATATCTGTTCTTCTTCATAATTCTTTTTTTAAAATTAAATATTGAAAAGTCTTTAACACAGAATCCGAGTTGAAAAAGTAATATAATTTACAATATTCTAATTTTCAATTAAAGCTGAGCATGCGGGATAAAAACAGAATAAAAACAAACAATAATTTTTATTTTTTTTAAAAAAAACTCAACAGATTATTGAAATTAATTTAAAAACTTTTTAATTCCCTGGCCAGTAATAATTTTTATGACATAATCTCTATTTCATCTCTATATCACCTCATAATGAACAGCTCACTATGTTCATTTATGCAAGATGACGCGCATGTGCATTTTCACAATAAACATACCAATAGTATAAATTGGTTGATTCGCAACCCATTCAAGTGCAGTCAACGAACGGCATTGGAAATTCTAAATACAATTTTGAAAAATTGTAAAAAAATTTTTATATTAGGTCATGTAAGACGAAATCTTGACTCATTAAAAGTTAGGAGCAATTGATTTTAAAATTCAAATATGCATTTCATGAATAAAATTATACGACATTCGCTTGAATACACCCATGTTCATGCACAATTTCAACTAAGTTCTTCAGAAAAAGGCGAAGTCCTTAAAGTCTGTAAAAGATGTTTCGACCTCTCAGTTTTGTTTTATTCCGTGCCTACGTATCTTTGTAAACTACGAAATAAATAATGATTCGTGGGTGAAAGATGAGGTTAGTAAAGAGGATGCGAGATAAGATTTAATAGAGCTTAATTTGTGTTAAGCTTTTATACTGCTATTTACATCACGAGGCTATGCACTATCATAGAGAATAATGGAGTCATGGCTGTGTTGATTATTGCAAGGTATGTTTGGAATAAAATTTGAATACTCTTTAAAGGAAATTTCCGAATAAGTCTGCAAATATTAGGTTGGGGGAAAGATATCCATTACTTTTTTCAGTAGATGGCTATAGTGTCGATATCTCGTGAAGTATCGATCAAACAATTTCAAATTTATGCTCGTTTTCAAGATGACATTTCACACTAAAAATATTATTTTTTTTTTGTTTGATCCATTCAGTTGTGAGTTACAGGGTGTTAAAATTTGAAGTCAACAAAGAGAAAATTCGTTTCTTTTAACAGTTTTTCTTTGAAAAAGGCGAAAATGCAAGCCAGGTGGCTGAAATTGCGCATGGTGTTTATGGTATCAATACTGTAATAGCTAATTACGTGCAATTTTGGTTTCGTCGATTCCGTTCAGGTATTTTTGATGTTAAAGATGCACCCCGCACAGGCAGACCCGTTGTCGAAAATGTTGATAAAATCACAGAAACAATCGCAGTTGACCGGCCTGTTAGTAGTCGTAGAATCATCTAGGAGCTAAAGATCGACCATAAAACAGTTTTAAGCCATTTGAGCAAAGTTGGATTCAAAAAGAAGCTCCAAGTTTGGGTGCCACACCCATTAACGCCAAAAACATGATGGGTCGAATTTTCATCTGCTAAGCCTAGGCCAAATGGAATGAAATCGATCCATTTCTTAAACGGATGGTGACTGGGGATGAGAAACGGGTCGCATACGACAATATTATGCTAAAACGATCGTGGTTAAAGAGCGGTGAAGCAGCTTAAACGGTGGCCAAACCAGGACTAACATCAGGAAGGTTCTACTGTGTATTTGGTGGGACTGGAATGGAATAATTTATTAGAAGTTGCTTCTGCATGGCCAAACACTAACTTCAGATCTCTACTGTCAACAACTGGACCGTTTGAAGCTAGTGATTGATCAGAAATGGCCAGAATTTGTCAACAAAAGAGGTGTTGTGTTCCATCAGGACAACGCCAGGCCACACACTTCTGTAGTGACTCACCAGAACCTCTGGGAGCTTGGTTGGGAAGTTTTACTGCGTCTTCCATATAGTCCAGACCTGGTACCAAGCGATTACCACCTTTTTCTCGCATTGCAAAACTTCCTGATTGATAAGAAATTGGGATCAAGAGAAGATTGTGAAAATCGATTACTAGATGTTTTCGCCAATAAGCGCCAAGACTTATATGAGAGAGGCATTATGAGGCGACCTTTGAAATTGTAACAAATTATACAGCAAAACGGTGCAAATTTGACCCAAATCGGACAATCGGAAGTACGTTAAATAAAGTCTTGATTTTCATGTAAAAATAATGGATTTCTTTTTCCCCAACTTAATATAATTGTTGTAAAACATTTTAATAGGTTTTTAAAAGATCTGTTAATTTATGTTAGTATAATGTAATGGTTAGTTATTTTTTTTTTAAGTTTTCTTACTCTTCTTTCACCAGTAGTAGACTTTTAAAGATTTTTAAAAATTTCATTAACTGAGTGTGTGTGTGTTTCTTTAAATTTTATTGTGAATAGTAAGTTAGGATTTTATTGTAAATATAGAAAGTTCTCGGCAAAGTTATCGTTAAGGAGTATTTTTTTTAAAAAATTTTTTAACATAAATAAAATTTTATTCTTGCAGCAAAAATACCCTAAAACTCTTTCTCGATCGTCATCTCTCAAGATCAAATATTTTAGCCCTCGAAGAAAAACCTTTTAACACAGATATATTTTACACTGTATAAAATTATAACTTAAGTAAAATATAAGATATTTTATTTCAACCTTCTCTTTCATGATCTTTACATTATTATGAATCTAACTTTGTATCTAAAGATGTACAATGCGATTTCTTTTCACTCTTCAGAAATAACTCGCTATGATTATTTTTGGATTTTCCTTTCAAACGTCTTCAACACATGTTGTTCTAAGCCTTTGTAATATCTTATTCTGTCACGGCCTTCTTCATAATCGTCCCTTGTCCTTTTCAAAAGGCTACGGATGATAAACTGGATATCACTATCGTTGATGCAAGAAAAACTTGTGAGAGAGATTTCCTAGAATATTTAAAAACTTCTTTCTTAACTTATTGATTGTAATGTTAATTTTTTTTAAAAATTATATGTCTCGTAAGCGCTTAAGATTTACTTATAATGATAATTATATCCGAAATCTTTGTTTCTATAAATATCCAAATTTATTTTAGTTGGAGAAAAAATGATACGATGCTTTTTAAATTGTATTATATGCATTAAGCATGTACAATGCTCGTTTTTAAAGCTTTTTAAACTACAGATATAGCGATACTATTAACCAATTTTAAATTTAATATATATATATGTATATATATACCATATTTATTCGAATCTAAACACATTTTTGTGAAAGAATTTAATAATAATTCTAAGAAACTGATCAATATCCAATATTTACAAAATTAAAAAAAATTAAATGAGAGCTAAGAAGTGAATAATTTATTTTACTAGCATTAAAAACTTATATACGTACACGAACCTGTAATTGCTCTAACCGTCACTAATATGTTCAATTTTCGTTATTCAACGAAATTTTCTGCCTTCGATTCTAAGTCGCACAGGTTTAGTGTACCTATATACATTCTATAACAAAAACAAAAAAACGACGAAAAAAGAAGGAGTTCCCCGATTGAAATGAAATTTCGCATGAAAAGACATTTCCATCGAACACGCAAATGATTAAAATTTGGTGTCCAACGAATAAATAGCGGGAGAAACAGCGCATCCGAACTGCGCACTCAGCAGGTGTTTATTAGAAGCAAATCTCAATCTGATGGTGAAAATTTCCGTTG